CTAGTAATATGTAGTATGAATGCATATTAGTTGGATTTTTATATGTTTTCCTTTATTTAAGGTACTACGCCGACATAAATATCTATTGATTGAGCACTCAGCACAATCAAATTATTATTTAATCGAACTTTTGTATATTATTATTATAATTGAATATGCAATTATTTGGAAGTCGATATAACGTAGTAACTAGTTACCTTTTTATTTTATTATTTTAGAGTATTACCAAGTACAGTACCCGGCTATAAATATCGGCCAAGTTAACTCGTACTAAGATTATAAGCTACTAAAACTATTCGAACACTGTCCTCAAATTTTGAAACTTTGAGGATCAAATCATAAAAAGATTGAAAAACAAAAAGTTATTTAGTAAATAATCGTAATAAAATTGTATCTTTCCAAAAAGTCAATGTGCAATGTTTATCGCCTGGTACTGGACGTGCATGGTGTTATTTTTTTTATATATGCATGCAGTTAATGCACGTGTTAATTTACTACTAAATTAATACAATCCTGTACTGTAGTAAGTCTGAATTCAGGTGGCAAGCGCTTCGATCGCGTTTTCATAACGCACTTTTATAACTACATATACGTTACGTTACATACATTTAATTCATGTGTACCTACGGCCTGAATGCCCTAGAACCGAATAAGGAACTACACAATAGGCAGAAACATGCAACTGCGATCTCCAACCTGGTTGACAACGGTGGGGATTAGCAATACCCTGTTAGATAATAATATGTAGACGAGGTCCATAGTCCACCAGTACACTGCTAGGGCTTTTTGATAATGTAACTTGTTTACAAAGAAAGTTCGTTGGCCAAGTGGTCGCAAGTGCGACTGCCCGACAAGAGGTCTCGGGTTCGATTCCCGGGTCGGGCAAAGTATTACTGGGTTTTTACAAAAAACTCAGTAGTAACACGGAGTCTAGAAATGTGCCCGGTATATGGCAATAGGCTCATCCCCTATTACATGGGACTCATAAAATAAATAGTGGAAAGTGGGTGTTACTTCTGTGTGCACCTCTGCCTACCCCTTCGGGGATAAAAAGCGTGATGTTATATTATGTTCAAAAATGGAATGAATGTGCGCGATAATCTCGCGATTGGCTGAACCATTTTGATGCAGTTTTCAGCAGTGTTTTTTACATAGGATATTAAATTAACCTACTTAAAAAAATGAGGGGGTGGAAGTCGGTTTTTTAAACGTAGTTTTTCAAAGAATTGGTAGTGGGCCTTGTTTGTAGAAAGACGAACTAAGCAACCGTTTTTCATATTGGTAACGGTTTATTTCCTTAGATGATAGATAGATGCTGAGTTTAGAAACTAGATTTAGGTAGGTCGTAGTCCAAACAATTTTGGGAACCACTTGGATGGTACAATTTTAGAAATACATAACAGTAATCTGTCACGTTAACAATAGAGAAAAGTAACAATAAAAGGTAGATAAGGGAAACAATGTGGTGGAATAATATTCCCACGGAGCCCGCCGTGTGTCCACGCACGTAGACCCGGGACGCCGCGGGTACACGCACGTAGACACGCGACGTTTGCCCGCTTCACTCAGTTTTAGGCTTATTCAGTTGTTTTACATCTAAGTATACGTGGCTAGGTGCTGTTACGAATATCATTAACTATAGTGATCATAATTAGGCAAGTCATTAGCTAATCATCAATAAGTCAACGTAACTAAATTAATGATTAATTAATGAATTGGCTAGGTATTTTTGTTAGTAGATAGTTTTTTAAACGGTTGTTGCATGTATGGGAATAAATTATGGATAAAGTAACAATTTGTTTTTATAATAACTATCGTGAGACATGCTGAATTAACTAAACATTACGAGTTACTCACATAAATATACGGACAAAAGCTCTACTAGTTTCGAGTCACAGAGGGACTCATGTGCAGCGTGCGTGGTCGCGCACTAGTTACTAGTAGGGCTTTTCTCAGTATATTTGCTTGAGTAACTCGTAATTTTTTATTAAGGTAAAAAATTATTAGATATCTTGTTACAGGCAGTATTTATTATTTACATATGATTTTATTTACAGGAGTATGGAATAAATGTGTCGCCGGAGTCTGCATATCGAGATAGTACGCAATAACTTCATCAATCAAGATACCTGTAGTATTCTCCTGATATTAATATAAACATGTTTGCATTTTTCTCGGACACAGACATAATATCGCGAATTATAATAATATACATCGCGTTTTTATCATAAAATGTACTCTACCTCAAGTACGATCAAATTTAACGATAGCTTGGGGAATAGAAAGCGTTCTTACTTATCCATCGCTACTCGTATTATCAATTGTTAACATGTAAAATATTATGTGATTGAGTGAACTCTGTTTGTTCGTTTGGAGTTTAAAGCAACGCTCTAAACGTTCTACGAAGCGCACCGTAATGCCGCAGTAGCCCCGTGTGTTAGGACGCTGTTGTATCGGCCAAAATGTCATATGGCTGTGTAATTGTTATTTAAACAATTAATTGAACTAATTTATGCAAAGTTTGGCGTTTCAATTATTCATTAAATGTATAGTGCAACACATAATAGAGTTTTAGTAGCTTTCTGTCAACTGTCGTGTTCTAATGCATACTCACTGTTGTCATCATACAATCATAATAAATGCAATGAAATCAGAATTAAGACTTTCTTTTCATCTCTATTTTCTGTCGCACTGTACTTATTGAACAGCATTTGAGTATTTTACTACAATAATGATTACGATATTTATGGAATTACGATATAATATTACGCCACTAATTAGTTATTTTGCTAGCTGTAACGATTATTTTTAATCGACATGAGCTTACGAACGCTTTAAGATCTACGTACCTACTAAAGATGTGGAATCTACACATAAATAGTGTTTACCAGGGTTTCATTATTGCTGAATATGTCATTACTCATAAAGCGGTTAATATTTTTATACACAGATTTTGCTTAGTACATTTTTCTTAAATTGTCAACTCTTGCGTATTACCTTGCATGTATCTTAATGTCAACATACTCATATTGGTACATACTACAAAGCTCAATATCGAGCGATTATTAAATTATCGTTTGTTTGCAAATAATATCTGTTGTTTACTTTTAATAGTTGTAAATTAATATCTTTTGTTAACATTCCAAAAATATGATATGTAAATAAATAAATAAATATCCTTTGAATATTTAAATTTGAAGTTTAATGAATGTTTAAATATCTTCATGTAACATCGCTAATAAATGTATGTATTTGGACCATTTACTTAATCGTTAGTGTTTCCAAGTGTGTGACTCCCTCTTGCCCTGCGTTGAGACTATCTATTAGATGCACAAGACTTCGATTTTAGTATTTATCGTTGTATAAATATATAGTGTAAGTTGGTAAACGTTTAAGCATATTATTAACTAGTCAATGGACTAAACAGCTTCGGGAACTAAAACAAATACAATACATATGCCGCTTGCGAAATGTATCTTAGTAAAACATGTGACCGCCCATTATTGGGGCGCGACGGTACGTACGTAGGTATGTTATGTATAATCTGGGCCTAGCATAATGTAAATTATTTACCAGACCGTCCTTACCCCAGATAAATGGTAAGCGAAGGCGTGTAGATTTATCTAAATGTTTAAACTGTTTTGTAACGATTAAGTCATGTTATAAACTTATGATTAATAATAAATATAGTTTCAGAAATTATTATTTTATTTCCTAGTATATACTAAAGCCGTAAGTGTACAGAAAGAAAGCTGGTGACTAGATGATGCCAACGTACCAGCGATTATCGGCGCTGGTCCATTCCGGCTACAGTTATAAAGGAAGCAGATGGAAGCAGAACGAGCAAAATGTACTCGCCGGACGATGCTTTGGTTATGTTATTATTCATTTCTCTACTTATCATAATTGTGTCGTGTTCTAATTCATAACGATTATACAACCTATGTTTACAAATAAATTATTCCATTTTCATAGTAGTTTAATGTTATTCTAAATAGCGGATCTGTGTCGAAGAATTTCGAAATTTGTCGTTTGTTTGTTTGTGAATGGCTGCGTGTGTTACCTGCATGAATTGATGGACCTGTTCCTGTAATGTATTGTATAAGCGCTGGTAATTAGCCAGCTTTCTGTGTACGGCCAAACACCCGAAAAATGCAAGTATTGGTGCACATTACATATTAACCTACTACAGCGTAACGCCTAATATCGTTCACCTGGTACACAGTATCTAAGTTCTTCCTTTCCTTCTACCGAATAGGCCCTTTCTACTAAAATTTAATGTAAGGGTCAATTGATATAATGCCCAGACGCGCAGAGCTAAACCCCAGCCTATTCTTGCACATTTTGCCGCTCCTTTTTTAATGTCTGAAGTAATTAAATCAACGTACCTACTTATTAATTTCGCTTCTATGTATTTCGACTCTGCCCCCTTATAAACTGACTCAAAGAGAATTGATAGTTTTTTAAAGGATGTTTCTCTTCCTAGTAGTCGCCATTTGTAAGATTGTTGCTCAATTTTAGGCATCTCCAGTACCTCGGATGTTTGGTTACATCACTGAATGAGACTTTTGCCGGAATACTGAAACGTTACAATTTTAAGTCGTGCTCAAATATCGTGCCATCTCTGTCATTTTACAAAGAATTTGTAGAGATAGAACTATACATAAGCACGACTTAAAATAGAGTAGCGTTTCAGTATTCCGACATTTATGTCGAATTACTGAAAGGATACTTAAGTCGTGCTTATGTACAGTTATGTCGCTACAAATTCTTTGTAAAATGACAGAGATAGCGACATTTAAGTACAACTTAAAATTGTATTTCTACTTTCAGTATTATTTTCTTTAATTTTATTTTATTTTCTATTATCTAAATCTTTTTAATTTTATTTTCTAGAATTATTATTATTTTGTTATTTATTTTACAATTAATTTTATTGACATCTGTCTTATATGTATAAGTATATAACATTGAGGAGAAGTAAAAATTAAAGATTGTAATATTATACACAATTCATTTATTAATAAAATCTTCAGTTTTTTTCCTAATCTAGTTAACAAATTATACTATAACTAAATACAAGTGATCTCAAGCATTTAACCATGCGAGTTGTGTGGCACAAAGGACATAGTTCAAAGTTGTACAAAACTGCACAGCCACATTTTACACAATTATTTTACAAAATACAAATAGTGTTTGGTCTAAAATGCTATCACTTTGATAGCATTGTACAATCTTGTACATAATTTACAAATGGCAGGTATGACAAGGCGTGCGTTATCCATAACGCAGGTTATGACAACACATTGCCAGCAATCAACCTGTTTTACATAACAACAAATTACAATTACTTAAGTACTATGTTTGTGGTTGGTTAGCATGTGCGTGAGCACCGAGCCGGGCGGGGTCTTGGCTCGGGTAGTGGAGTGCTAGCGGGGCGGGCGGGGGAGGGACGCCCGGCACTCCAGGCACACCAGGCACGCCTGCACCCCAACTAGGCCAGCCTCCGCCGCCATAATGATGCAAGTTGAAGAAGTCGTTTGGACGATTTGGTGGAGGTGGCATCTATAAACAAAAAAAAAACACTATAAGTTTCTGTAACTACAAAAATCAACACATGAAATATATAAAAAGACTTAGATCATCATGGTCTGTCTCAGTTAGTTCTGTAAGACAAAGTCAGTTTGGAATTTACATGTGTTAAAAGCAAACTACCAAACTAGATCAATATTTACCTGCGGCGGGAACGGGTGCAAGTATGCTGGAGGTGGCGGCAGAGCGCCGGGCAGTCCAGGGACCGGCTCCAACACTGGCGCAGTTTCGTTCTTCTCGTTACCACCCTGGCGTCCTGTTAAACAGATAACAATATATAAGTAAGTCAGTTTTAAAAGTAAGTACATATTATAAAATCAATCAATAGGAACAATTGAGAAGAAAATTGATTGTGAAAAAGAAATAAAAAATACTAACCTTGAGATTTACCCCACTTGATGGTAAGTCGTTTACCGCCTATGACCAATCTATTGAATGTCTTTTCGGCAGCATGCTCTGCAGCGCTTCTCGTAGTGTATTGTACAAAGGCACATTGCGCTCGAGGCACCAAAGTCAAAGACCTGAAAAGAAATAATTATACATAAATAACACAAGTCATGAACAACCTTGGCATTTGTAGTTACAAAATTCAAAGGATAGCAGTTAATTAAGTTATAGATTATAAGGAAAATATGGGACAACATTAAAAAAGATTAAGTTATGAAAAAAACATGAACATACCTTATTTCTCCGTATTGATAGAAGTGACCTCTAAGTTCATCTTCGCTAATATTATCGGGTAGATTGCCAATGTATAAAGTAGTGACAGTCTTGTCTTCGGGTGGAGGCAGGGCTGGCATTGCAGCAGCACGACGCATCAACTTCTCAGCCACAGGATCATTCACTCCATAATATCTGGAAATTTAACAAATAAATTAATACATGTAAAGTGTAAATACAATTCAGCAACTGAATCATTTACTTCTTTTTTTTCACTATTGATTAGTAAGGACTTACAGACATACTTAGCAAGATTTTAGCAATAGAGATCTTATATGATGCACTATGTCCTATCAGTGTTAGAAGAAATGCTTACCTGTCCTTGATGTTCTGGTCAGCTAGTGGATCATCAGGGTCAGTGGGCTTCTCATGGCGATAAGGACACTCTTCACCTCGTCTGCACTCCCCTTTCACCCAGAATGAGCATACGTGGGGTCGATTACGTTTGTAGTATGGCGCGGTTCTCGCCAACCGTAGCAGCAAATCGTTGGCTCCTTTTGACTTCAAAGCTGAATTGCTTGGCTGCGTTGAATCAAATTTCGACATTTGACTATCTAAATTCTGTATATAATATTCCTTATTAACTTCATTACGAGGTAGATCATCTTGTATTTTCAATGCAGCGTCTCGAACTTGAATTGGTAATCCGTATTCGAGATCCAAAAGGCACGTTTGGCAAACATTCTTCAGTTTAGAACATGTTTGACATATTTCCGTCTTCTTGAAACGCATCCTCGCGCCAGGGCACCAACGGAACACGGTGAAGGGTCGTGCACATATCTTGCATTCCTTGCCGTATTTCTCTTTAGTCTGAAACGAAATAATATAACATTAGATCTGTAAGTCTTTATAAGTATCGACCAGAAATTCAGAAAATAAAAAGAAATACCACACTTACCATACGAATGTAGGGGTTATCACCAAGACACGTCTGACACAAGATTGGGAAGTCCTGAGGAAGAAAAAACCATTTATTAGATTTATTACACACACAACACAATACGAATAGAATTAGTAATAAATCGAAATAAATAAGTACTTACCGAATCTTCCCAATTTTGACGATTATACGTGTTTGTTGATTTCGAAACAGCCATTGCGTTTCAGGTTAACAACAAGTTATTCACTCACTATAACCAGTACTAAACAACACACAATAACAATTGTGTATAATTTAACGAATATATTGTAAACAATATAAACTGAGCAAAAATCAACAATGATGTTAGAAACAAAACTGATCAACGCTACGTTGGATAGATGTTGACGCCGCCGCTAACACCAAAGAAGTGATTGAAATTTTTCACGCTCACGCGCTTTTATAGGTACGGTCACAGACGCGTAACGAGAACCGATTACGGATCTAAAATTGGATGGATGGGAAATGATTGTCTATAGACAGAATTTAAGATATGTGCATCTCGACGGTAAATCAGTGTTGTTCCTTTTTTAATTATGTCTATTTCCATATGCAATTTTGTAATGTTACCAAAATACCTATTTGCGACCTATTCTCCACTACAAAAAACCACGGATGGTTCTTTTTCAAAGTTTTGTGTTTCGAAATATTTGTATGTCAATTTCAGTGGAATACATGTTGTGTTAATGCTGAAGTGGTTGTAGAGATAAAGATCAATGAGGAGAAAGATGCCGTAACGCAGTGTTATTCGATGTGGCACCAAAAGTATAAATAAAACGCTAGATGTACCATTACATCAATAATATGTACTGCATTTTTAATTAAAATATCTTCGTATTTACCTATTCAATTGTGCGCTTTTGGCAAATAGACTAAATACAATAATTTTCCTATTTAAGATGTGAATGTGTTGAAAATTCAAACAAGGAGGCAATGCCCACGTTTCTGGCGGGTTCACGCGTTACGTGACCAAGCCCGTGGCTTACGTGACCAGTCATACGTACTTACGTACCACTGTTTCAGTACTGTCCTCAAACTCAGATCTCTGTTCTCGTAAATGGAACATTAATATATCAGTGCCCAATTTCCTTATGAAAGCTGAACATGAGTGGCTAAGTTATCATAAATTATAAAATTGACAGGAAGACCGATCTACCGAACTTAGTTGATTATCATCTAATACATAACAATAATACTAATAGAGATTTAATTTTAACCTTAATTTAACTAGATCTATCGTTAGTCATTTGTAACGTCCAGTAGCATCATCAGTAGCCACTGCTGACCAAAGACCTCTTCTCGCATAAAGAAGGTTTGAACATTAAGCATGTTTGCTTAATGTTAGTTCGTGATTTCAAACTTATAATTAGAAATTATAAATCCAGGATTCCTCACGCTATTTTCTTTCTTCGTTTGTAAGTGGTGTCTGAATAATCTGAGAAAGTTCAAAGTCACATTGATACTTGCCGTTGGTAGTTTTCAAATCCGCACTCTCATGCATGGCAAGTGGGTTTTACGACCCTTAAATCTCCAAGTAACCACGGATCAGTACCGTCAGCGGCTTTGCCTGGGTTCTTGTGGAATAAAAAGTCACCTATGTGTTATTCCCGATTATAATCTACCTCTGTTCCAAGTTTAGTCCCAATCCCTTGAGCCGTTTTGACGTGATAGAGTAACCAACTTACAAACGCACAAACTTTCGCAATTATAATATTTATTTGAAAGAAAGCTAAAATAAAACTAATAAATCAATTGGTTAGTGGTCTGTTGTATTACATCTTTAAATGTAATAATTTGGAAGGTTCAGCCAGAAATCTTTCCTAAAGAATATGCTATTACCAAAGGAGGAGGAAACCTTTCTAAAAAGAATAGACTCAAGGCTTTGTCCCCTTTTCTTCTCTTTTAATAATATGCTAAAAGTTGATAGAAGATTAGATTTCTTCCTATAGTTTTAGTACAAACAATCCCACTATATAGTAAACAACAATTTACAAAACTTATTTTTTTATTTTCATAATAAATATATGCACTACGGTTCCCAGTTGAGGTAGGAGATTTTTCGAATAAATATTCGACGTGGATAAATATTAATTTAATACTAAGTATTAGCTTCACATCCCCAGTCATTGTTGCCTAACATCAGACTAACTTTTTAACCTTAGGTGGTAACAATCTAGCAATCGCCACTGGAAAGCAGTAAAATACCTCGATAAGAGCTTCGATCATAGACATCTCATTTTCCTTTGGACAACTTGCACATTTCAGCATCTTTCTAGCTTTTTAGGAGTCTCTTGATTTCCCACAACCTTTTTTACGAGTTGGTAGGCTCTATTTATAACATTTTCCTATGTATTTGTAAACTCCTGCGGGTAGATGGTCCACAATAGGAGTTTTATACTTTTTATTGCTCGCGTAAACTCATCAAAATCAAGTATAACGTCTAGACCCTGCCTTACCGGAAAATTTACAATATCATTTATTTATGCACGATAGGTCTGCGTTAATTGCAGCAGGGTTAAGGATGTCATTAAAATGTCGTGCCCATCTCGTTATTACATCAGTTTTCCTCGAAACTATGCTATTTTTTAGAATAGTGTGACCCTAGACCTTATAATATCGAATATTATCCTACAAAATCCATAATTCTAAATTTGAATTTCAAGGATTTACGAGCGTAAATATTTTGTTTTCGATATGCCAACTTAAACAAGTTAGTGGGTAGGTAGACATGGTAATAATAGTACTTAATACTACTTACTAAAGAAAACGTAAAATACCATGCTCGAACAATAGAAGAGCTGAATGCTTTGTTTAACTGTGGGAAATATGATAAAAAATGGAAACGACCGATCAGCGCACGAGTGTCAGGTTTGACAATTCCTGGATTTTTTTACTGAGAACCGAACGATAAATAATAGAGAGGCGATTTGTTTCAAGTTGGCCTGTTTTGAAATTAATTTAAATACATGTTCATCATCTCATTATTTATCCAACTTTGCTTTTTAACTAGCTAGTGTCCGCAACTCGTTTGCGTGGAATGCGTTTTTAGTAGGAATTTTGGGATTCATAGTATCTGATATTAAGGTCACACTATGCCAAATATCAACGAGATCTATTTAGCACTTACAACATTAAGTAAAAAAAAATTACACACATTCTGTTCATGATTCTCTCGATTACTTAGTTGCAGTTAGTTTTTGTAAATGAACTAATGAAAGAGTGGATTGTATGTAAGGTAATTCAAGAAACTATTTTTTGAAAATTAATAACATTTGAAAGGAACCGAAGTTTGAGTGGCTCATTGCACCCGAAACAACGTTATGCTTACGTGTGATATGTCACGTAGGCCACATACGATGCCGTAGGTCACGTAACGCTTGAACTTACCTGCCAGGAACGCACACATCGCGTCGTTGATTTGATTTCCAACATGCTGACTGGGTTGAAATGTAATATTTAAAACTTAAAAAATCTGTAGAAGGACACTGATAGTAATATAATCGTTTCTGTGGATGATGCCATGTTTTGTATTCATTTCGGCGACTCTTGGTATGCCGTCGCCTTCAGAATATAGATTGGTTTTTCGTCCCAAAAACAGCATAGGGGGAAAGGCTCTCTCTTTGATTCGTACTAAAGGGCTTACTTTGCATCCACGTTATAGGACTACCACTTGACTAGCTTTTGCGAAAGAGTGATTCTAAAGAAAATTAATTCCAGAAGCGTTGTTTCACAACCTCGGTTCTGAATCGCTCAAGGTGATTGATATACATAGTCGATATTCGCGTTAGATGCCTGTGGAAGAGGAATTCACCTAAATCATCGTCTACAATAAAAATGTTTTTGAGGTAGAAGGGAAATGTCAAGGAGTCTCAGGAGAGAAGAGCAAGAGGCCGAGAATTTAACACGGCTACTATTTGACAAAGTCATGTAGTAATTTCTTCTAAGGTAATTTAAGGTTTGCAACAATAGTTTGAAATTAATCTTTATCGGACGACGGCTGCTTTAGCTAAGCCGTCGAAGTATGGGTGACAAGCAGGCTCAAATTTAAATTCAATATCTTCTACAGCTATTGCATCTTTAAGATCTGCTTAAAAAAATCTTCTGAATTGTTTAAAAACTTAGAAAGTTTGTTATTAGTAACGCCAAAGTTCGTGCTGTTTTAGGACATTATACTTCACGGTTTCCCGCGACGGGATGCAAATCGTTTTAACGCCGCGTCTGTTGATAGAACTGTAACGAGCTCGGTAGAGCAGGCCTTACACATCAACACATCACCAGCCTATGAACGCCATGGAGTAGATTGAATCATTAATCACCAAGCTTTTTTAATGCGGGTTGGCGATTCCAAACTAAATAATCATATTATTAGAAATTATGAGCAATGTTTCTTGAGATAAGTTTCGTCACGATGCCTTCCTTCACCATTTTTCAATCTAAATTACCTTAGAAACTACATATAGCTCGAAATAAGTCACATTGGTACTTACCAAAGTAAGTAGGTAAGTAAGTTGGTAAAGTCAAAGTAAACGTTAAAATAATTCATTTCAATTAGGTAGGTTTCAAACCCAATCCTTTCAAACAGTCCAATACATAAGAAGCCTCCGGGTCACCACGGTTACCCTTAACCGAATTGCAAATAAATATTGAAATTAAGACCGAGGCCGTAAATCAAAATGCTTGAACAATAAAAGGATTGAATGTTTTGTTACAGTGAGAAATACGCCCAAATATGTAAACGTTCAATCAGCGTACGAGTATTAGGTTCCCAAATCTAGGAAAATATTTTAGCGAGAAGCAAGCGATAAGTGAAGACCGCTGTTTTATTTCAAGTAGCGTTAAGTATATTATTTACACTGTTTGAAAGGATTGGGTTGGAAACCTACCTAATTGAAATGAATTATTTTAACGTTTACTCTGACTTTACCAACTTACTTACCTACTTACTTTGGTAAGTACCAATGTGACTTATTTCGAGCTATATGTAGTTTCTAAGGTGATTTAGATTGAAAAATGGTGAAGGAAGGCATCGTGAGGAAACTTATCTCAAGAAACATTGCTCATAATTTCTAATAATATGATTATTTAGTTTGGAATCGCCAACCCGCATTAAAAAAGCTTGGTGATTAATGCTTAAATCTACTCCATGGCGTTCATAGGCTGGTGATGTGTTGATGTGTAAGGCCTGCTCTACCGAGCTCGTTACATCTCTATCAACAGACGCGGCGTTAAAACAATTTGCATCCCGTCGCGGGAAACCGTGAAGTATAATGTCCTAAAACAGCACATAATTTGTCGGTACTAATTACAAACTATCTAAGTTTTTAAACAATTCAGAAGATTTTTTAAGCAAATCTT